TTGGCCAGTGATCCACACCTTTTTGTAAAATGTTTTGAGAACGTTTTTCATGTGCATACTAGCTTCTGATGTAGTGTGAGATATCCACAGGTGTGGAAAGTTGATGATATGTGTATATTTATGTAATTATGTAAGTTGTGACGATTATGGCATGTATCAGTATAGTATGCAGTTGTGTAGTATGAAACTGTGACTATGGCTATGAAAAGCCAATGCATATGGTTGTGAGTATATATGTTTGTGATGAATTATTTTGCAGGATTAGTTGCAAGAACTGTTAGCCCATTACGCGAGTAATTCATGTCGAAATTTTATTTGGGTAAATTTTGATAATTAGTGTAACACCCGAGATTAATTCCGCTGCAATTGTATGAACAATATGATTAGGCAAAATGTACAGGGTAGGGTGTTACACCCGACCCACCCGAAATCCGACAACGGGTGGCCTTGGGTGCAATTTTACATCCGAGACCACACTTCCGGTGGGGATTGCCCAAACCAGAAATTCATATAAGGGTGGGCAACGGATCCTGATACATCTGGCCCCAATCCTCCCGATTGAATTAATGACCAAATCAAATCATTTAAACCAAACTTTTTTTTAACAAAAGATAATTATATTAAATGATAAGAAGATATTGATATACACCCTGGAACCAACCCAGGCACGAAAATCATACAATCGACACATAGTCGGAGACAAAGATAGGGCCTTCCTAGCCACTGAGTGGGCTACCCCATTGATATTCTGACCGACGAATCGATTACTAAAACCACTACACTGCACCATCAAATGGATGATCTCCTGGATAATAACCCCGACACGGCTATCCTTCACATCTTTAGCATTAACCTTATCAATAAGCACCTTCGCGTCCCCTTCAAAACGAACTTGATGGATGTCGAGGCCTTGACACTAATTAATCGCCTCCCGGAGGGTTATAGTCTCCACCACAAGAGGATCTATCATATTTTCAAAAACCATACCTCTTGCCAAGAGAACAGCGCCGCCTCCATCCCTTATGATTATACCTCCTGCTGAGTGTGAGCCGGTACGAACCGCCCCATCCCACATACAGACGACTGAGGTTGAATCCACCAAGCCCATACTATGCTGCACAGGTGGTTGATCCTGAATTACCCTATCCCTATCCACTGGCAACGACACCCACTCATGGAGCTGCTGATGGTATTGACGCATCAGTTGAGGAACTAAGTATTGCTTACCCTCAAAGGCGGCCCAGTTCCTAGACTTCCAAATACGCCACAGGAGTGCCACCAAAGCCATAATTTGATCAGGTTGGGTCAACCTATACAGACATCTTTTCAGGAAAAGAGGGAAGGTATGGCGAGGCAAACCATGACCCAACTGATCCAAACCAGAGTGAGCCCAAAGGGATTCCGCAATCGGGCAAAATCTGAACTTTCTTCTCAATCAAAGCTTCAGTCGTAGGCAAGATACGATGAAAAATTTGCCAAAGGAATAATCTTAGTTTAGGTGGGATCGGGAGCCCCCACAGCCGCATCCAACTCGACCTATCCATCCAACTTACCATAGGTCGCCATGACCCTACCTGTCTAGCCGTCAAAACAGCAAATGGTAGGCAGACTTGACAGTGAAAATGCCATCACAAGTATCATGCCACACTAGCTTATCCACAATACCCGTTCTGGGGATTGCCAAGATGGCACGAGATACATCCAGTGGAAACATCTGATGGACCAATTGACAGCACCACCCTCCCCCATCCTCCGCTATAAGTTCAGCCACTCTAGGGTCAGCGCCCTCCGGGATGGCCTAGGGATTCACCCGGGGAGGGTGGGGGTGAGTAGACGGGACCCAACTAGAATGTTGTATAGATACTTGGCACCCATCCCCAATCTGCCACCTAAGTCCTCGTTGAAGGAGACAACGACCATGTAGAATACCCTGCCATCCCCACGAAGGGCGGGATCGCGCAGTCGCTGAGAGGAAAGTACCATTCGGAAAGTATTTCCCTTTATAAATCTGGGCCAACAGGGAATCCGGCTCCGTAAGAATACGCAAGTCAATCTTTGCCAAGAGAGCTTGATTAAAATACTCAAACCGCCGAAATCCCATCCCCCATCATGCTTGCTTGTACACATATTACGCCATGAGATCCACCTAACTCGGGGTCGACCCCCCTCCACTCCCCACCAGAATCTAGCTACGTGCTTATCCAGTACACGACAAGAGAAAAGAGGGAGTTAAAAGCATGACATAACATTGAGTGGTAAGGAGAACGCGATAGATTTAATCAACGTCTCCTTAGCCACCCACGAAAGCACCTTCTGCTTCCACCCTGCAGCAAACCAAACTCACTAAGATATTTTGGTATTTTAATTTTTTGCTTTTTTGCTTCAATTTCAATTTCGTTTAATGTTGTTTAATGTGCTCTTTCACTCAATTAGCTTTTCATTTTTTGGCTTTAAATGTTCTGCAGTTTTCATGTTTTTGTCCAATCATATAAATCTTTTCGTATCCTAGTAAGAATATTGAATCAATTCTGTATTTTGATTTATTTTATTAGTTCCTTTCCATTAGTTGTGTAATAAGACGCAATTGCCGAATTATGTTTGTTTTTACAATTTTTATTGTAATCATGTTAGTCGAGTGGTTTTGTTTCAATAATTGTGGTCTGCCCAAAATTGTTGCTCTCGATCAATCTTATGTGGTATTAAGCGATGAATCGCTATGTTGGTGTTGTATAGTCGGATCCATTCATTTTCTCTTATATATGAAATAAATTCTCTTACATAAGTTATATCACCCTTTCCGTTGCTGCTATTCTGTAATTCCGACTAACTTTCAAGGGCAAGTTATAATCTCTTAAGATAAAGATTTTAGTACTGTAGTGGTTGCTTAATAAGCTTTACACTGCATTTATGAATTATACAATCAATGTTAAATTTGTTGGTTAATTAGCTTATGCCTCAAGGGCATGCTTTAATCTATTGAGATAGAGATATCTAACATCCTAGTGGATGTCTTTTTAGGGTCAGATATAACCTGCCTTAGCAAAGGTGTCTGATCCGATTTGATTGGACATTAAAGTTTCTTCACGGATGTGAAACTAGCTTTGTTAGACTTCAGGTGATGGAAATGTCACATTTGTATTTCGTAAATTTTATTGTGGTATTACTACGAGATAGTGTCTTACTCATTATGTTTGATTGTTTACTTCTCGGAGAGATTCTCAACCGGGCATTTGGATGCTACATCGAGGAAGTACTCACATCCTAAAGTCAGAGCCATTCTAAGGAGATCTTGCCTTCGCATTCGCATTGGACGTATCATGATGGTTTATCACTCCTAGATGAAGTATTCATGGGGAAGTGCTCTCCTCTTTATCTCTGGTTGAGTCAGTTTCGTATCTTTTCGCTCCTCGGAGCTTTCATAGAGTTGTCCTCCTTGTGGCAAAAAGGCTCTTTCATCCGGAGTCCGGTTGCATACAGACTACCGTTCTTTATTACTGTTTATATTGTATTGTTGTCCGACCATGCGTTGGTGGCTTATCTTGGTCAAAAAAACTCACTAAGTGATGTACTTAATTAAACTAATGAGACAGATTAACTGAATTACAACCAATCAAACATGACCTATTAAATTGGATACCTCGTTACCCGTTCTATTTAAATTATAAAATTTATTGACAACCCAACTTTAGATTTTAGCATTTTTGAAAAGGGTTAATTGCATGGTTGGTCACTAAGATTACAAAAAACGTTCATGTTTGGTCATTCTTAATATTTAAATCCATTGGTGGTACTTCAGTTTATTGAAACCGTTCACGTTTGATCTCTCTCTGTTAGTCGTCGTCCATCTCCGTTATTGGAGTTCGTTAAGTGATGATGTGGTGGACGAAATCATCTAATCAACCCTATTTAACCCGAAAATAGTGTGTTCCGACAACTGCGACAATACCTCTTCCAATTCCTTGCTCGACGGCACCCTAAGTCTTCAATTTCTGAAAGCAAACCTGGACTGCGAGTCCTCGATTTCCTTCTCTTCATCCCGCCTATCGCTCTCATCCTCATCATCCGGCCACGAGGACGAAGATCTCCCCAGGCTCTCCCTCGATTTGGAAAAGCCCAACACCGCTGCCAATTTGAGCCTGACATTCAACCATTTGCAGAGTCCCAACCCATTCGTACAATCAGAACCCCCCCCCCCCCCCCGGTATGATAATGGTGAAGCCGCGAGCTGCGGAAATTGGAGGAGAAATCACTACGACAAACAAAGTCGGGAGGAGCCCGATGCAAAGAGCTACTACAACCGTCGACACAACATGAGAAGAGTCATGTGGCGGGAGCAGGGGAGTCTCAATCGATAGCCCGCGACTGAATTCATCAAGTAGAGTCGGGAGGAAGGAGGCAAGAAGACTGATTTTGTGGATTTGTTTAGGGTTTCAATTTGAGTGGGTGGATTCACGGTCTGGTTAAAGGGTTGGGTTGGTTTAGATGACATGGCAGGTCTTAGTGACGTAGCGGGTCGGGTCGCACTATTTTCGGGTTAAATAGGGCTGATTAGACGATTCCATCCGACATGTCATCACTTAACAGACTCCATTAACGGAGATGGACGACAATTAACGAACAGTGACCAAACGTGAACGATTTCAGTAAACTGAAGTGCCACTAATGGATTTAAATATTTCGCGTGACCAAATATTAATGTTTTTTGTAATCTCAGTGACCAACCACGCAATTAACCCTTTTTGAAAATATGGATGCTCCTCTCACTTGTTTAACTTTATCAAGATAAAGGTTTGAATGTTGTAGCTTTTGAGTTTTAAGTGTTGAAACAGACTTACCCTAATAATTTAGTGACCATTGTTATATTTAACCCCGCTGCCACCTGACATCCACATTCTTCTCTAGTCCATCGGTTGTCAACAGCGGTGTACCAGAATACAAAGCGACGTTCTACCAAAAAAAATAAAATAAATACAAAGCGACGGTCACGGCACATTAGTAACAACGCATTTACCAAACTACCCTTTCGGCTTTATTTTCTGCCTCAAATTTGCTACGAAACGGCACCGTCATGCAAGGAATCGTCTACCCTCGCTCGTCGAGCTTCGGTTTTATTCTTCTTCTTAGCGACGGAGAAATAAGCCACGGCGATGCGGGAAAGCAACCTCATTTGGATATCCAGAGAAGCTGCCGAAGGTGGCAAGTCGCAAATATTTACCTAGGAGGTTGCTTGCTCGCGAAGTAAATCCGGCCATAGGGCAGAAGCTGTTGGATACGCAGACGAAGAAGCTTCGATAAAGGAGATGCAGCACCGGTGAATCTCGTCTGCGGCGGAATTAGGCTTTTGTACAATTTAGGTGTGGAATCCTATCTGGATGATCTATCTCATTCGTTGCTGCATTTAGCATCATCTCTTACTTGGGCGTTTCCTGCAACGGCCGCCGTATATTATATGGATTTAGGGTTTGTGGTTTGGTAAACCTGATTGTAGTTTGACCGTTATATATATCTCTAGGGTTTGCTTTTTCCATCCTGTTAGCTATCTATTTACCAGCATCAGTTTCTCACGCGCTTCACCTTGACTTGCTCAGGGGTTGGATTATTGTTTCCTTTTTTTCACAATGGCGGACGCGGTCCCAATCTACTACAGCATTATCGCCTTCGTTTGCACTCTTGGTGCGATCGCTTTGGCGGTTACTCACATTTACAGGCACTTACAGAATTACACCGAACCCACGTACCAGAGATATATAGTTCGCATCGTCTTTATGGTCCCGGTCAGTCATTCTCAAACAGTTCAAATCAACCCATCTGTTTGCTTTCATCATGTTATTTGAAGTCCTTCATTTCCTACGTGAGATATGGGCAATGCTGACTGTTATGTTCAGTTTGCTTCTCCTTTGTATCTTGGTTGATTTATCTTCATTCATCCCCGTCATTTTCAGCTGCACCCTTACACTATAATGCATAATATGTGGTACTTGCTTACTCGGAAACCGAAATTCTGGCGTATCTGGCAGTGAAATCCAGGGCTTTAACCATCCATCTCTTGCTTAGATGGAGTACTTAGAGATGGATTAGTATGGTTGATTGCTCAAATGTTCATCCAAGAATTCTATTAGTTGATGCTCTTATTTTGCATTAGTGTTATCTGTTTTTGTTTTTCTGATTGTAAAATCTGGATGTTGTTCTGTGTCTTAGTTTTCTGTAGGGTGCTTTTAGCAGTTTGGATGACTACATTTCAATATTTGGATTAGTGTCTGTGCATTTGCATAGTTGACTCCTTTTTGGTTTCTAAACTGGGTGCTTCCTTGCCTGCAATTCTGATATCAAACTTTGATATATTCTCTTACAATCAGTAATGTATTAGTTTATAACCACAACCATTGTTTCTTGTATCCAGGTTTATGCATTGATGTCTTTCTTGTCTCTCGTCATGCCAGAGAGTTCTATATATTTTAATTCGATACGAGAAGTGTAAGTACTTTCCCTTTTCTATGAAACATCATGTTTCCCCCTTGTTGAATAGAAGTACATCTTTACCTTGGTGTGTGCTGTTAAGCATGTAGCTTGTCTTGATTCGGAGATAACATGCAACTCAAATAATAACGTAGAAGAAAATGAGATAAACACTAGAGACTTCTGCGTTGTTCTTAGTGTCGCTATTTCCAGTAATCCGTGATGACACTCTATTCTGAGTTATGCAGTGAAGGTTATAAATGAACTCTCCAATATTGTGAAGTTCACGTTCCTTCTGAAATCCTTCTAACAGTTTCAGGATTGTCACTTGACTTTGTTCGCATATAACACAGCCTTTTGGGTAAATTTCTTCCAATGCCGCACTACTATAGATTTCCTTTTTTCCCTGGATGCAAACAGTTTCTAGTGGCATGAAAGGAAGTTGGATAAACATGGTGTCCGGTATGCTCTCTTTAACATCTGAGGATTTTTTTGACTGGATCAGATCGTCAGATATTTGATATTTCAGCTATTATGCGTAACCTCAAACTATATATGACATATTATGTGATATGCGAGCTTCATAGCGTTAACTCTCGTCCTAGTAAATTACCAATTGAGAACTGTTGTTGTTGAACAGTGGATGTGAACTTTCATTTCTTAACCTATTTGTTGGTTTAAACTAGAGGCCGATAATACTTATAGAAGAACAAATTAGTCATTCCACCTATTTACCTGGGACATCAAAGTGGTGTTTATTTTTAGTCAATTGCTTGGAACATGTGATTTATAAATTGGAAGAAGTTAGTATCTTAAACATCCAGACTATGCAACCTGTTCTAATAACTTACCTCTTTAGCATCTAATTATCGACTAGGGTTTCACTCGTCTAACATCTGATCCATTCTTCAGCCTTCTCAAATACCTCTGTTATACCTTGTTATATAGCAAAGGGGGAACAAGTCATCAGCAATGTTTTTTCGCTTGCCTCCTACTGTAAGCGGGCAATTTGCCCACAAAAAATTGTCTTGTGTCTTATGCTGAAGAACTTTCTATCTGTGGAAGTGAGCTTGCTTGATATTGTTATTACATGAGTACTATAAATCCAGTTCATCCACACTAGTTTCTATTTCAGTTCCTGATGCTTCGGTCTCTGGTCAGGTATGAAGCATGGGTGATTTACAACTTTTTATCACTGTGCCTCGCTTGGGTTGGTGGCCCTGGTTCCGTCGTTTTAAGCTTAACTGGTAGAGTTATGAAGCCATCGTGTTGCTTGATGACATGTTGCTTCCCTCCCATACCGCTTGATGGGTCAGTTTCTCTCTCTTGGACTTTTGGTTTATGAGCACGAAAAATTAACAATTCATCTTCCTGCCACTATCAGAAAATTTTGGAAGCTTTAAACAAGTCCTCTGCCATTCTTGATATTGTTCTATCTTTTAGCTTTAGAGGATGCACTTCCTTTATCCAATTATAATCTTCATTTATCTTCTGTTTCCAGAACTAGATAATCAATTTTAGTACTAATGACTTTACGAGGATGCTTTTGATTGTATGCAGGCGGTTTATACGAAGGTGCAAGCAGGGTTGTTTGCAGTTTGTGATTCTGAAGCCCATCTTAGTTGCTGTTACTCTGATACTCTTTGCAAAAGGCAAATACAAAGATGGAAACTTCAGTCCCAATCAAGCATATCTGTATTTCACGATAATATATACGATTTCATACACGATGGCTCTTTATGCCTTGGCATTATTTTATGTCGCATGCAGGCATCTGCTTCAGCCCTTTAATCCGGTTCCAAAGTTTATTATGATAAAGTCGGTTGTTTTCTTGACTTACTGGCAGGTAACTAGTTGGCAACCTTTGTCCCGTGAACTGATTTTGTTATTGTATCTTATTTCATGTCAGGTTCCAATGCTTGAATGGCCTCTTTGTTTTAGATTGTTGCTGTCTGTCCTGCATCATTTGTTTGTCTAGTTGGTCATCTTTTCTACTTGTACTGGAGTAAAAGTGCAATACCTCTCTGTAGTAATAGCAAATTGATGGAAATGAAAAGATACGGAAGTTAGGATGCTGGCTGGTCAACTGCACATAGTTTGACTTCACAAGTTAGTGAAAATTTTCTGATACTTCCATTCTGCAGCTAGCAAGATTTTTTTTTGCCCCTTGCCATTTTGTTGAGGGGTGACCTCCCTGTGAAGGGGTGACTTTCCAACTGGCAGTCCATTATTTCGGGGTTTTCTGATGGTAGAGGTGCTGAAGCTTTTCAACAATATTTGACTGTTAAAATATTTTCCAAAAAGTTACACCATATGAGAAACACGTTCCCTTTCTGTGCTTTCTCGAATTTTGGAATGTTACGACATTTTTGCTTGAACTTTCTCGGATGACTAAGAGAAGAAAGAAACATAATTGCCCCGAGGAGATAGCTCCTTATTATCTGTTGTCGGTCTATCAAAATTTTAAGTAGCGTTATGTGTGGAAGTTTGATCTCTAGGGAAACATTGTTCTGCCAGTGTACTGGCTCTCTAAAATTCTATCTTCTGCCAGATTAGTTAGAATTTGATCATGGTCAGCGGTGGTATGTTCATGGCTGCCACTTGACGTCAAAGAGGTGTATATTTCTGTTTGATAGGATGCCAATATTTTAACCCTAGCTATCAGCACATTTTTCATTGTTTAGAGGACATGTATGATGTATGGAGCTGCGGAGTTCATGAACCTCCTTGAGACGTCATAATTTTACAAGTGCATTAATTTATACATGCATTGTCTTGTTGACATATGATTCAATGCAAACAGAAATTCCCGCAATTTCCAAGTTTGTGAGAGCTGCTTAAACATTGAAAGCCATGTTTGCTAATCCTTCACCTTCTTCTTGTAGGGTGTTCTGGTTTTTCTCGCTGCAAAATCTGGATTTATTAAGAATCGGGATGACGCTGCTCGATTTCAGGATTTTATCATCTGCGTTGAAATGCTTATAGCTGCTGTTGGTCATTTTTATGCATTTCCTTACAAAGAATATGCTGGTGCAAATATTGGTGGATCTTGCGGGTTAACTAGAAGCCTTGCTCATGCCTTAATGTTGAATGATTTCTACCACGATACTGTCCACCAGGTAGGCCGTAATGTTAATCTACCAAACACCTACCTTCTATAATGGCAAAACTTCCTTATGACTGACTGGCTGGCTTGCTTAATTTTGCTTCAGTTTGCACCTACTTATCACGACTATGTGCTTTACAATCATAATCACGAGGGTGAAGAGGGGGCAATAAAGTATCGAGCGCGTACCTTTGTGCCGACTGGTCAAGAAATGGATGCTGTGAGAAGAAACAAACACATGCTAGGAAACAAGTTGGACGAGATCCAGCTGAGCAGTCAGTCATCATCTGGGGGCAGCACCCCCAAGCATACATCTTCTTCAGTACCTGCCGATTCGGATGCCATGAAATCTTCTCTACTTGTTGATACTTCAAATTCTTTGTCTGTTCCATACGACATGTCACTCATAGACATGGACTTGTCCAGCTACCCTGCAAAGGTACCTGCTGCAGATGATACAACGGGGACGAGGTGACAAATACCATGGAAGCAGCGAAACTAACAGTTTGAAGACTGTCTGACCTCCTCCAGAGGAACATGAAGTGTGCTTGAGCAAAAGTTGATGTATTATTGTATGCCAATAGTTTATTAATTGCCAATCTGGATGAATGCTTTGAAAACCAAAGCCATTGGTTTCATGTTGTCGACATCGTGTGTCAGTCAGTCAGTCAGTCTGTGTTATAGCGCTTAGATCATTAGCGCATTGATCATCTTGTAGATATATGGAATATCATTGGATTCCACAAGCAATCTAGAGTTTTACAGTTGTACAATAGTTTTCAAGCTTTGAGGGTCATCTTAATTAGTCTCTTTTGTATCCTGCTTCGGTTACAAATTTGTAGACTGATAGTAGGTGGTTTTCTGGAATTCCATCAGAAATGGATCCGTAATCTCGGATAGAAGGATTGGCTTTGAGGTGGGTCCATAGGTCCCTGCTCGAACCTGTTGGCAGTCGGTCAACTATTTGAGCTGCTACCACGGTGAGAGTGGGTCACTGCGTTCCGGCTGGGGCACAAACTGAGAATGACCCTCTCGGTCTCGGGGACCTTTCCTGGACATCAAATCTGACTTCTTAGTTAAAACAAAACATTGTGATGATTCTCGTGAATGCTCAAGCAATATAATTTTTGCCCAATGTTCTGAATATTAAAGTGAAGAAACTCGACCAAATCAGACCCAGTGTTCTGAATATCAAAGTGAAAAAATTCAACCAAATTAGGGTAAACAAGGACAATTAGTCGAGCCGTGTTTGATTAGATGTTGTATACTTCAATACCAAGCTAACCCTGAGGTCTGAGTGAATGTGGATTAAGGATACTGGAATTTGTGGATCCCTAAGTAGTCCTCACTAATAAAATGACGTGAAAAGGCAACATAACAAAGTTAAAGTTACGTGCAACGGTTGGTGTACGTTCCAATCAATGGGTCTTGGATTGGTTTGGCCGACAACTTCGCTGAGCAGAACTGCGAACAGATTATTACCAAAAAAAAAACAGCCAATATTGCCAGTGCCGTGACCGCAATGAAATCCACTTAGAACAAGAGATTGTTGATGTCCGGGTCCGACGGCGATGGAGGAGAGATTCGCAGAGTTGGTGGGAGCGGTGGAGACGACAAGGCAATTGACGATGTGCCTCGCAAGAGCGACAACGAGAAGCAGCAGCAAGTACAGGAGGAGATGACGCGGTCGAGCAAGAAGAAGAAGAGGGTAAACAAAGGGCACGATTTCAACAGAAACGGCGAAACGCGAAGCCGCCGTTGGTCCGGAATTGGGATCGGTTGTTGTTTCCCCAGGAATCCGGTCAAGGCGAAACCGGTGGCGGTGGTCGCCAAAATCAAGCCGAGAGAAGAAACAGAGCCGCGGCGGCCTTCTTCTTCTTCGGCAGGTAAGTGTATCGGTTTCAGACACTGTTGCTATGGTTTCAACAAACCTCCTCCAACCCTAAAGTCGCAGCTGCTAATGTCATCATCGTCTCTGTCCACGACTGCAATTGACCCTAATGCTCCTAATTTCACTTCCGAGATGCTGAGAATTTTGATTCAGAGGAACGATTTCTATTGCAGAGAATGCAACCCTCACTCTGTCTGTTTGACTACCAACTCTCACAGATGACCACACATTGCAATGAAAAAATTATCTTATCAGTACTATTTGCAGAGAACGCAACCCTCACTCTGTCTGTTTGCACTTTGCACATTCTTATTGGTATGTTGGGTCTTGTTCTTGCTTTCACAAGAGGTTCTAGATTTTGATGGTTACCTTACCTCAGTCCTTGTATAGTTGTATTCCCTCATCCAATCTGGCTACTGCAACTAACACGAACATTTCTTCCGATGAGGGAGTCGAACTGGGTCATCGAGGATGCGGTTGATGGCCTACTATTCTGTCATTTTTCATTGTTTGCTCAACATGCATATATATAGTCTTAAGTCCGAGTATTGAGTGGTGGCTACAGCCTGTTCTACACTATATGTAGCTCGCACCTGCTTGCCAAACGCGAGCTCCACTGCTCCAGGTCCTGTTCTTAGCTTCGCTACGAACACTGAGCGCGCAGGTCTTCATTCGCTTGGGTGTATTGGTTGAAACAGGGTGCATCTTTGTTAAAATTACTTGACGAAGGAACAAGCTTGACAAATTCCTTGGTTGGTGCACCGGCCATGATATCATATCAGCTGGTGATGATTTAGCTGTTATTAGGTCACTTGATAGACGAAGCATTGAAAATTGAAGACCATGGTGAACTTGATGATTAGGGCTTGAGGTTGCACGGTGTTCTAAATGCTCTTCACCATGTCAGAGGAAGTATGTCTTAGATTTTACTAGAGCTTGTAGTAATGACAGCCTGCAAACCTGCTGCTTCTCCCTCTTCTTCGTCTTCAAAGTGGTCCATCACTGGATTCTTTGTTCTTCCGAGTTGGTCATTTGTAAGTTGGAAATCTGCAAAGCAAACCACTGTGTCTCAGTCTTTAGTTGAGATAGCATATTGTGTCATGGCGTTGTTGACTTGCAAGACATTATGGCTTCAATATGTATTGCAGAATTCGGCTTGATTCTTCTTCTTTTACTTCCATGTTTTCTAGATCGTCATATGACTGCAATTGAATTTAGATGGTCTTGTTAAAATTTTGCCTGTTTCTGCTACTAATTCATTAGCTGAGGTTTCCACTAAATACTTGCTAGTTGTAAATTTCAGACACTTAATGGTTAAACTGGGTAGGGTAGTGCCTGGTTTTCAGCCTGGTCCCTGGAGTCACAGGTTGAATACTAGGAATGGAGCTTATTTTCTCATTCTCTCTACTCCTCTAGTAGTAGCATCCTGTAACAGGTTTTTGTCAATTTTGAATGTCTTCAGTAGTATTTAATTATAAAAAAGTATAACCTATATCACCAAAAAAGAAGATTAGTTAACAGACTAATTGCAATGCTGCTTTTATTAGATGGACCTGCTAGTTATATATTGTGTGTGAATCGTGTGTACATTTCATTTTGAAGAAATAAAATAAATTTCTTTCTCAACTAGTGTAATATGCTACGTTGTTATGATTTGAGTTTGAGTTTTGACTATCTATTAGATATAGATAAATACAAAAATCTGGCATGATATAGGTGCTAGGGCATAGTAAATTAAATCTTAAGTAATTTTACGTCCACCAAGCTTACTCATTAGGACCTAGATAGGAAGTTCGCGGGAAAAGATAGTATAACAACAGTTCGTATGTTGTTACGGTACCAACAATAATCATTAAGGACAAAAAGGTAATTTAATATAAAAAATAAAATAACATTAAAATCTTCTTCTCCATCGCTAATTCCCGATGCCCCAATTTTTCCCTTCCTAGATCTGGGTTTCTCCTCCGTCTCCGACTCTCTTTCCTTCTCTGTTCCGGCGCCGATCAATGCCTCCACACGAGCCTTCCGCCGACGATCCCCACCACCGATGTCCTTCTCAGGCTCCTCCCGTCGCCGGTCACCGACGTGTACTTCCTCAGATCCATCAGCTCGTGGACGCCCACCTCGTGCTACGACTCCCACGGCTTCCGATCATCGCCATTCCACAACTCGATGAAGGTGTTCTCAGAGTCATCGACGAGCTGGTGGAGGTAGCGTGGAACCCCATCGGCGAGGTAGCGCTCTTGCTCACTGTTCCCTCTCTTCTGATGTTGAAAACACCAAGAATATCGCGCCATCGGATTCCGGCTGTTCGCCTGTTCCCGTGACGGAACTGTCGGAAATTCGGATTTTACCGCTGCTAGAGGGTACGTGAACGGAAGCAGCAGAAGGCTCCGCGACCATGGCGGCACCGGCTGCAGACGACTTCATTGAGGCTCCTATGTTGCCTCGCTGCAGTTCGTATCTCTCAAATTCCTAGAGATTCGCAACAATGGTGGTACCAGCTGCGGCCTGCGGACGAGTTGTGGAAATTCATTCCAAGGCTTTCCGTGGACTAAGAGTCTATGCTTCAATTGCTTTTCTTTCTCTCCATCTCGTTTCTTTCTTTCATTAGTACTCCAATTCAATTTGTTTTTTCTAATGACAATTTGAATGGACAGTGAAGAGAATCATTGATCCTGGGAAAGCTATTTTCAAGTTTTAAGTTGATATTTGTGGTATATCTATTGAGATGTGTTGTTTAATTTTGCTAATTATAGAGTGTACTTGTGGTCATATGTAGTTTGGTGTCAAATGGGGTTGTAGCCTTGTAACAATTTTGTATTTATTTGTTAGTTATCAGCACCATAAACCTCCTAATATAAATTATAAATGCAATAAAAATAAACCACAAAACGCATACCAGAAACCTCATAATGCAAACCAAAAATCCCTTAAAACATATCAGAAACCCCATAATGCACACCACAAATATTCCGAAAGCACACCAGAAACATCATAATGCAAACCACAAACACAGTAAAGCAAACCAGAAACGTCTTGATGCAGACCACAAATATATTAAAACAAACCAGAAGTCCCACAAAACAAATCACAAAATTTTCGAAAGCACACCATAAACTTCTTAATGCAAACCAGAAACCTCCTAATGCATACCACAAATCTCCTAAAACAAACCACAAACCTCACAAAGCAAACCACAACATTTGCGAAAGCACACCAGAAACCTCCTAATGCAAACCACAAACACAGTAAATCAAACCACAAAAAAGCAAACCATAAACGTCCTAATGCAAACCACAAATATATTAAAACAAACCAGAAACTCCTTAATGCAAACCACAAAGTTTTTGAAAGCAAACCAGAAACTTCTCAATGCAAACCATAAACACGATAAAGCAAACCACAAAAGGCATAAAAAAATATGAGAAACCAAACCATAAATCTCACAATGCAGACCATACATCCTGTGGTCGTTGACCGAACTCCGGTGACCGTCAGTGAGTAGATTCCGGCGCCGATAGGCATATTCCGGTCCCGATGACTAGATTCCGACGCCGGTAAGCATATTCCGACCACGATGAGCATATTCCGGCGACGGTGGCATATTCCGATGACAAAATAGCATATTCCGGCGACAAAACAGCATATTCTGGCGACCGATAACCGAATTCCGACGACCAAAATTTTTGGCCGAAAATAAAAAAATATTTTTTTTAATTTTTTAATTAAATTTTTTTTAATATTTAAACATATTTTTCATAATGACAATTATACTCCTGCTTTGATTTTACACTAGGTCAACTCATCTAATAAAAAGTCATCACAACCTAGCTTCCTATTGGTTGGAAACTAGTGTTGTTACAATAACAACACAAGAAGTGTTGTCATAGTATCTAGTCCCGAAGTTCGCCAATTGAAATGGCTAAAAAGAAAGTTTCATGTACCAATATGATCTAATACAAACTTGATGTATCAAACTAAAAATATTTAAGGGTCAAATTGACTTTCTGACTAGGGTCGGAAGTTTGGTACCTGCATTTGGGGTATACGGTATATATCATATCGAATTTATCACTATTTGGTATTATCGAATACTGCCTTATTTTTTAGGGATTGAGATTCATTTTGAAGTGCTATACGGTATTCAGGGTTACGGGATTGAGATTGGTATATACCGAAATACCGAGAAATACCAAAAATTAAAAATTAATGAATATAGCACACAATCTTTGGTTATTCCTCACTCTTTCACAACTCGAGCCCCATCCAACTAAATTTTGACTTTCCAGTTTAAGTCACTCTCGTCTCTCACTTAATATCTTGTTATTTCTATAACACCAAAAATCAAACACTAGTATTAGTCGTCTCTCAGCATCCAATTCGTCAAATTAAAGATTACCAACGACAACAATTTGATATGTTACCTCTCCTCTATTCTCAATATCCATATCCTAACTCTAGGTAAACTCAAGACTCTTTTCTTAGTCTCTTTTCTCTAAATTAAACAATCAAATATAATTTATATATTAAATTATTAATCGCAAAGGCAATTAATTTCGTATTCTATAATACCTATTGGGATACCGAAGTACCGATTGGGTCGGTACCGATTGGGATACCGAAATATTTAGAGATTGAAATTGAGATACCAAAATTATTTAGGAATTGAGATTGTGATTGATTTTAGAGCGTAGTTCGGTATTCTAATTTTGGTATTTGGTATTGGAATACCGTACGGATTTCCACCCTGACAATACAATATATCGGATATGAAATGTGGAGCATAATCGTGAGTCGAGATCTCATTCTCATGAGATAGACGCGTATTGAACTTGTCGCTGTCGACCATGGTTGTCAAACCCGGCTCTGACCGGCCGGTCCGACCGGGTTGGGCCGGAACCGGACACAAAAGGGGCCAGCACCAGCCATATTCTGAGCTAGCCGGCAACCGGTCAAAGCCGGTCAAAATCGGTCAAAACCGGGGTCTGACCGGATTTATCCGGTTACCGGCTAGTGATGAAACGACGACAGTTTGGAGATTGGGATTTGTAACCCTAAATCCGATTCCGCCCTTCCCTTCCGTCGAGTCAACCGATGCAGCAAAGCAAGCAGCCCAGATCTCCTCCGTCTCTCGTGCGTCCTCCAAAATTTCCTCCTTCCGCCGGCATCGATCGGCGCCTCTCGCGCACAGCGACGCCGCTCTCCTGCCATCGCCTGGAACCGAGCTCCACACATCTCGACCCAGCTCACCCCGCCGCGACACGACGCCTGCTCCCGGCGACCTCGACCCAGCTCTCGGCCGCCTCAACCCAGCTCCCGTCGGCCCTACCCGTCGAGCGAGGCCATCCCTGAGGCCATAACCAGCACCTCACCGTCGCTCCACGCCCCACGCATCGCCGTCGCTCCTCGCCCCACGCGTCGACCCAGCTCCCCGCTGCCTCGACACCGCTCGCCGCCGCCTCGACCCAGCTCTCCGCTCCCCGCGCCGCTTGCCGCCTCGACGCCACTCCCCGCCGCTGCCTCGATGTTACCTCCGAGCTTTTCCAGTTGGTGCTTAATTAGCTTTTCATTTTGTTAGTTTCGACTTTTATGGTGATTAATATGCAGCGGTGCACTGCCATTGTAAATAAACATAAATTGGTTAGTTCTTTTAAGAATTGAAAAAGAACATCCATGAATTTGGTTCTGTTTCGGTGTTTCTCCAGTGAAAGCGAGCAAAGGAGCAAGAAAGAGCATTGAACCCTTTTGTGTTTGTTAATTAGATGGGATGCAGCAGGTTGATTGATGGAATTTGGCTTGTTGTGTTTGTTAATTAGAACTTTTTTTCTAAATTAGGAGTTGATGCAGTAGGTTGATTGATGGAATTATGGCTCTACAATATCAATTACCCATATATCTTGTCAAACCGGCTTAATCCGGTCGAACCCCGATCCGACCATTAAACCTCAAACCTCTTATAAAACCGGCTGGAGGACTTAACCCGGTTTGACAACCTTGCTGTCGACTGTAGCAGATATATCGCGATAAGGACGTCCGTCAAAATGCCAAAACACGAAACGTTTCGCATTGTAAAAATTCGATTCGGCATGCGATAAATTAGCGAGAGATTTTGATTGCCAGTATATACCGATTCGCCCCGATAAATGGACTGAAACGTGCGAGGGATTCGTTGCTTCCGTTTTCCCTCCTTAATCTTTGGCCAGTTCTGCGAAGAACCCTTGTCAGTGACGGTCTTCTAAGTTCCATGTCCAGTACCTCTCCTCCCCGCCTCTACGCCTTCCCGTTCCCGCGTCCGCAATCGTCTTCTCTCCCTCTCTCTCGCCAGTGCAAAACTTGCGTCTTCCTCTGCATTACCAAACTACACTCCTCGCCTCCATCAAAGAGGTTGCTAGGGTTTGTTTACTTGCAGCCTCAACTCAAGCCGCCGTCTGCCTCCACTTCTGCATATACAACGACGAAATGGGTATCAAGGTCTGTCGGGCGGTGACGCAATCTAATCCAATTTCGTTCGACCTTCCCGCTGGTCTACATTCTAATAGGGTTTCCGAATTCGTTATCTGTTCAGGGCTTAACAAAGCTTTTGGCGGACAACGCTCCCCGGGGTATGAAGGAGCAGAAATTTGAAAGTTTTTTCGGTCGCAAGATTGCCATTGACGCCAGCATGAGCATCTATCAGTTTCTTGTCCGTCTCCTTCCTTATCTCCTCCTACCCTTTATGGTTTTCTGTTACGCTTTTTCATCTGGTAGGGTTATGAGAGTTGCTGTTGGTTGCAGATTGTAGTTGGAAGAAGCGGGACTGAAATGCTCACCAACGAGGCCGGTGATGTCACTAGGTCTCTTCCCTTTACATTTGAATTTTGTTTCGTCTGTGCTGCCACTGTTTCGGTTTCTTTGTGTTACCTATCTAGTCTTTACACATTTGTCCTTTCCTTCTTGCAGTCATTTGCAAGGCATGTTTTACAGAACCATTAGGCTCCTTGAGGCTGGAATTAAACCCATGTAATGTTTCTTCTTTACGACTCTACTTCTCTCCTTTTTATGTTGCTGCCATTGTATTGTCTGTAATTGTTTCCGCTTCCGCTTTCTGGCTTTCAGCTATGTGTTTGATGGGCAACCCCCTGATTTGAAAAACCAAGAGCTGGCAAAGCGGTACTTTGCTCGTGCCAACCTATTCAGCTTTCGGTACCATACTTAATTCGCTTGATCAATCATAACATGTTATGCTGTCAAAATTGCATGCAGTTCTTCAAAAAGGGCAGATGCTACTGAGGGTTTGAGACTAGCTGTAGAGGTGTTGATTGAAATCCCTGTTTTCCTTACGCAGAACTCCTGTGTTTCTCATTTTCTTTGATAATTATTTACTTCACTCTACCGTACATAGGCTGGCAACACTGAGGACATTGAAAAGTTCAGTAAACGTTCTGTGAAGGTTGGTTGGCTTCTTCCTGCTTGTGTGCTATCCTCTCCCTTTATTAAAGTCAGGAGAGTGAATTGACTTTCTTTTTTTACCCTCATAGGTCACGAAGCAGCATAACGAAGACTGCAAAAAATTGTTGAGACTCATGGGAGTCCCTGTAATTGAGGTGATTTCTCAATAATGATGGTGCTATTATTTGTTGTGATTGCTATTCTGGGAGTCTTTTCATGTGCTTTATTCTAACAAACATATGAGTCTTCCTCTGTAGGCTCCTTCTGAAGCTGAAGCACAGTGTGCTGCTCTCTGCAAATCAGGGAAGGCATGCATCTTTCCCTCTGTAGTGACCTCCCTATTTTCATTCATGTTGTTTGTCTGTAGTGATAGTGTTATTTGGGCTGAAAGTATGAAGCTTTACTTTCTGAACTTTTGATGATGTATATTTGGCCATGCACTACTACTAGGAAGTAAGATAAGGCCTTGGGTTTCATCTGCTAATGGCTGCAGTGTGCTTTCCAATTACTCCAATGTTCTGAAATTGGGAGCTACTACTTCTATTTACAATTAGCTGGACCATTTGCAGTGTGTTTTCAAGGGAATAACAAAATATATTGCTTTTTCACCTAAAATTTCTTATGCTAATTGTTTCAGTACTTCTTCAGCTTCATTAAATTGCTGTTTCTAGTTCCTTAATGCTAAAATAGTAAAATCGCACAAGAAAGAGTCTAATTAGCTTTTTATATTCAGGCTTACGCCGTAGCTTCTGAAGACATGGATTCACTTACGTTTGGAGCTCCTAGATTTCTTCGTCATCTAATGGATCCCAGCTCGAAAAAAGTTCCTGTCATGGAATTTGAAATCGCGAAGGTGTGTAGTTGTAGAAAAATCACTTGACACAATTCCTTGATCCCAATGTCTAATCATCGTCGTTCTTTTCAGATCTTGGAAGATCTAAACATCAGCATGGACCAGTTCATTGATCTTTGTATCCTCTCCGGATGTGATTATTGCGACAGCATCCGAGGTACTTGATTTTCTTTCTAGTGTATATTTCAGTGGATGCAATCCCGTGTTTCAGGCTGTCTTATGTGTATGCAATAATAGCTTCTGTTGTGGATTTATGTCATAGGTATTGGAGGCCAGACTGCCTTAAAGCTCATTCGTCAGCATGGCTCCATAGAGGGTATAATTGAGAACATAAGCAAAGAGAGGTGTGTCTTACTTGCTGTCCTGCCTTCATTAGTGTTTCTTTTACTGTTATTCAACTTGTTTTAGTGTTCAACATATTGAATATCCATGGGATATAACTAGTGCTCTAAATGTTCCAGTGAGCTTTAGTTTGTGGATACAGGAAGAATTACTAAGGTCCCTCTCTTTTGTGGACATTATGTCACTTTGACCTTGCCTGAGTGGATGAAGCTTGCGGCAGTTATTTTTATTTTGTTCTTCCTTATTTGAAGTTTTAAAGTTTTTCAGGTATAGTAATATTTATCAATAAGATTTCTTGAGATTAAGTTCCTTGCTTCTAAAGTTTGTAATTCCTATACGAAGAAGTTTCGTCACAGGTTCATGGTAAAGAGGGAAAGCAGAGAGTTTAGTGGATTCTTGAAACCCTTCTCGAGCGGATTTTCCAGTGAGGTTCTGCTCTTGGATTGGAGAGGCAACACTTGGAAACCCTAGTTTCCTGTTGCTTTCTAGAATTTACGCCAACTGTCTCAAACACAATTCATTCCCGTTTCCTCTTTGCCTTATAAACCTTGTGCACATTAGTTTGGTGTTAGAGCCAGGCTCTTCTTCTGTCACTGTGCTGTGATCTATCTACCATGGTACTATGGTAGTGCTGAGCTGAATGCTCAACTGTTCACCATTCAACTATCGATGGCCTTAGGAACTACCTTGCCTAGAATCAAATTGAAATTGGAAGAAATAAAAAAATACTGTGGCTAGGCCAAAAGCTTGGTGTTTCTGTGTGCCAAGTAACAAAACCAGCATAAAACAAGGAAGTATCAACCAAAAAGAGAATAAACAAGAATCAGATACAGCCTAGATGAGTTGAAGACAAAGCATGTGAAACTTTTATCGTGGGGTGGATTCAATCACTAAAGACTCACTAGTTGCTCCCTAAATTCTCGCTGATAAGGATGAGGATATGGAGGTTAAAAGATCAGAGTCCTTAACTTTCATTGACTTTTTTGTTGTCTAGAGCTAGCTTGTGACAAATTTTATTTATTGAAATGTTTCTATCTTCTAGTACAATGGAGGAGATAGCAAAGAGTTGATTTCATTGCTGCATTATTGATTTTGGGTGTGGCTTTCAACTTATTCCTATTTCCACATATTAAAATTTGAGCACAATTTTTCATCAACCAGGAGAATTTGATGTTCATTGAGCTTGGTGTAATTTTCCCTGTTCTTGTTTCTTTGAGGTTTTTAAGGATTTCCTTTAAACCTAGACACTTCATTAGTTGCCTGATGGGCTTCGATTTCATTAGATCCTCATAATTGCTGGCCCATTTCATAACCAAACTATTCACATTTAGGTACCAAATACCGGAGGACTGGCCTTATGTGGAAGCTCGAAGGTTATTTAAAGAACCAAATGTTATTGCAGAGGATGAACAGGAGATCAAATGGGCATCTCCGGACGAAGAAGTAGTTTAATTCCCTTCATACACTGTTCTAGTGATTTTTGCCTTTTTGTTTCTCCTATAAATGGACATGTTTGTTTATCATTTTTCTGGTTTGTCAGGGCTTGGTTAGTTTCCTGGTGAATGGAAATGGATTCAGTGCCGACAGGGTGACTAAGGTGTGCCTCACTCAAGTCATATCAATCACTTTGTGTTGTACTCTTTCTAATCAATTCTTCATTTGTTTGACATCAATAGGCAATAGAAAAAGTCAAAGCAGCCAAGAACAAGTCCTCACAGGGCAGGTAAGCATCTGTTGTTTGTTCTCTGCATCAATAGGTTCTAACAGAGGAGGCAACTGTGTTTGATATATGATGATATTTTGCATAATAGCGGCACAAACAGATTTAGTGTGTGTGCTAATTGGGTAAATTGAATCACTTTTTTTTTATCATCCTGATATGGGTATGATTGAGGTGAATGAGGCAAAAACATGTTGCAAGGAAAGTAAACTCCTAAGTCCTATGTCTTCAAGATAATGAAAGATGCAACATATTCAGAATGTATGGTCAATAGGGTGATAAAGGGAAACATACTTTTACTGTTCAGTTGACGAAGAATATTAAACATACAAATAATAAAGGTTTTACATATTTTATCATATAGAATTTGTTATTTTGTGTAACAATTGATACTACTTTATTAGCAAGTGGCACATGATGTTCTTTATGTGGGCCTCTTGTACCGCGACTTGCTAGCTGGCATCAAAGACCCCCTTGTATCAGGGGGAGCCTGGAGTCTCGATTAACTGCTAGCTGCTTAATTACTCTGTGCTGAAGGACTTGAGCTTAGACGTGCTTATAGTCTAGATCATGAAATTTAAGATGGGAATAATTAAACAGAAGCTAGAATGAGAAATGGAAGTGGAAAACCAAAACAGAAAAAATAGGTGTGCATTCTTGAGAATGGTCGCCACCTCTCCCTTCTCCCAAAGCTTATCAAATGAGAGCTAGTGAACTTGAAAATGTCTTATTTTTTATTTTTATAATGGGAAAGTGACAATAATGCAAGACTGGAAAGCACTTATTCACACAATGGAACGTATATTTAAAATGAAATGTGAGTAAATTATGAAATGGTAGGGCCTGTAATATAATAACTTCTTTTGCGAATTTTACTAAGTATCTGCTTGATTTATCTGCTGTTCGCTGGACTCAAACATCTCCGAAACGCCAACTGCTCTAACTACTTACCAGTTACCACGGCATATGGAAAATCCTAACTGAGGCATAATCATTATTGTATTTTTCTTTTAGGTGCTATAACTTTGGTTATTAAGATTCATTGTTGGCATAGTTTTAGGTGAATTTAGAGTTATCATTTTCACACTTACGAGAGAAGTAGTGATAGAGGAATGGTGATTCAGTGCTGATCAAAGACATTTTATGTTTTCTTATACTTTCTCATGAGCGTCATTGTCTACATTTTTGTTGCACAGATTGGATTCATTTTTCAAACCTGCTGCCAGCACATCCATTCCCCTTAAGCGGAAGGTAATGTGCCATTGCAAGCATCTTATCATATGATATTTTCTCAACTCTTCTTTACTTGATAGGATATCATCATTCTGTGTTGTGTAATAGACAGGTAGAGGTTGAAAGTTAAAATTGAATAAATCTGCTTGTTGATGCATGCATGTATGCTTACTTGAGTTAAACTGTAGTTTGGTATTGCATCTGGAATGTGCTTCTGATGCTGTACATTTGCGTTCAAAATGACATGCTTGCATCTGAACTCATGAACTAACGGACAGAGTTAGGTACAGTTTGCCTACTCATGCAAGCTGATAGAAACCTCTTATATTGGCACTCGAGTACTGCTGTTAGAGTCGTAAATTCTCAACTTGTTTGCTACAGATCTTAAATGCATATGACCTAAACTGGACGGGGTTTCTAAATTCGGTTAGGTGGAGATAGCAGCGGCTAGAGGACATTACCATTAATCCGTTATCTATTAGTAAAGAATTTTGATGGTTTCTTTCTCTGTGCTGCAAGTTTCCTCAAGAAGCAAATTCCTGCCCTGCTTTCTTTTCTGAACTTGTATGTGTTGTTAATTCTTTTCTTATTGCATAATCTTATCTTGTCCTGTTTATAGTTTTGCATATCCCCTGCTGTATTTATCTTTCTTTAAGCCTATTTCTGTGTAATGTTTTCTCGATAAAACAATGTGCTTACTTCTAATCAGTGCTTTCTCCCTTCAGTTAGTAAATGACTTGTCCATGCAATATCTAGTTAGATGCGACCCAGGATACATGATCTCGTGGCACATAACTTAATCATATAGGTTTTGTTCCCTGGAATAAGTAGACAATGGCATCACAGATCAGCAATCTAATGATTGAATAGTTATTGGTTCCACTAAAACATCAATAGGTAGGGAGAGAGAAGCATGTTCTGAGCTTGCTATGAGGCACTACAAACATGACTGGTACCATAATTTTTTAGTGCTTTGGATGACAGGGAACATCATGTACTCTTGGGTCTCTCAAACCATGGGGAAGGCCAAAAATGGCCTCCATTCCAGCCTTTAGTTGTTGGTACTTGCCGAGGGTCTCTGGCAGTGCAAGGCTGCCAAGTCTGGAACTGAGTTCAAAGCACTATGTTCCATTTTCCAGAGTTGTCTGCTTCAGCTGATGAAGCTGAAACCCTGGTCACATCCATTTCAGTCACTGTTAGTTATTTTACCTTATTCCCAACACATTGAATAACCTTTGATGTCCCATTTCAAATCCCAGTACATTGAGTGACCTTGTGGTTTGATATAATTTGGTGCTGTTGTTAAAACCGAATACGTTTCTTGGATGGTGGCTTGAAGCAATTTTAAGTTTTGGTTTTAGGTTGTGTCGCTTGCGTTGTTTGTTTACTTCTCTTGCAAGGAACTCTTTGCTATGTAGGGTTTATACCATATAGGATGTGTAATGTGTACTCGAGTTAAACTCTGCCTGAAGTGATTCAGGGATGATGTTTGGTTTGTGGGCACTGTTTATTTTGTTTGCTTGCGACATCGATGATAGTTTTGATCTGGTGTAATAACAGGAGACGCCTGTTGCCCCTACCAAGGGAGCGAGTGGGAAAAAATCGAAGGCTGGCGGTGGGAGGAAGAAGTAGCAGTTCGGGTTTGGCAAGTTGCATATGAATGTGGTCAACGTTGGGTATCGATGCTGACGATGCTTGCTGCCACTCGAGAGGGAGATTGAAGATCGGTCAGCGCAAACTGGTTCCCGATTGAGGTCTGATCTTCTTGACGCAGACATGTAACCATTTTGCTCATCATGGTTAGTGTTTGAGGCCATGCTAGTTAACGATGGGGATGTAGTTGATAATGTTTTGGGTTGATGAGAAAATATTGGTTTTGGTTTTATTCAGTTCTGAAAATTAGGTACCCGTTAATCAAGTTGTGTTTGGTAAATTCACACTTCACTGAGATGATTTCTATCCATAATCCTTGTCAGTGCTTTCGAATTTGGATCCTTGCAAAACCCATTTACGGCTACCTAATATTTCCTCCACAATTGGTCTTGGAGATCTATATTCGATCAGAACGGGAGAAGACTTTGGGGCGGCATTCAAATTACAAGCCCATCGCGTGGAAAGTTTATTGTTTTTAATATACTTATTTATTTGATTTCTTCATTTAATAACAAATTCACTTTGCTACTCTTTAGGGATGGCAATTTTGCCCATACCCATGGGTATTTTACTATCCAACCCAATTGGGTTGGGTATGAAATCCAAATATATGGATATGGGTAAAGTTTGATGGGTTTGTACCCATACCCATTTACTTTGGGTTGGATTTGGGTTTGTACCCATGCCCAAATACAAATTACAGTTTGGTACCTAAACTTAATAGATATGCATATTTAGTACCTAAATTTAATTTTTTTTGCATATAAGTCCTCAAAATATCAATGGAAAATTACGTTTTGGTACCTAAATTTTTTTGGTCTTACATTTTGGTACCTAAACTTTTCAAGTTTTACAAATAGGTCCAATTTTTGCATGTGTAGTTAAAACACTCTCAAGTAAATGGATATCCATATCCAACCCATACCCATTTAGATAATATCCATATCTAACCCAAACCCATACACACATCACCCAAACCCTACCCATAATAAATGGGTCTACTTGGGTTTGGGCAAAATTACCCATGGGTGGGTAAATTGCCATCCCTACTACTCTTAAGTCTTAACTAAACTAAAATACTTGAGTTATGTAAATTTTAAGAGGGTATTGTGTCCAAACATAGAATCATGAGTTGTAATACAACATCAATGAGGACACACCAGGTGCCTCTCATCACCCAACAAAAAACTTTGGCCTAACTATCTGATTAACCATTCATTAGCTCAACTTGTGAATGACAACTAGTGAGAATTAAACATAAAAGGGTAAAGACTAAAGAGTCACAATTGAATCCATATATTAACATCGAAATATCTACATTGATATAATGATTGGTTTTTTTTTTTTTTATAAGTTTGAAACAATTTAATAATGACGGAAACTATTCAATTATGTATGAAAAAAAAAAAGAAAAAAAAGGATTGTCCCTAGTTCACGAAGGTGACAATCGGATGAAGTAACATAAAATAAAACTCTTAAAGGAAAGAAAAAAAAAAGGAAAATGAGCATAAAAACTACTACTACTTATTTCACTCAATTATACTCTTCTTGTCATAATTTCGGAGAGAAATTCGAGAAGGTATATAAGTTATGACTTCGTTTCCCGTAATTTTAAGATACCTAAATTCTCCGGTATGAGAATCAAGAACAACACAATTATCATCTCCATAGCGTGTCTTGAAAAAACACTCCAAATTTCGCGAGAATCCCATGAAGTAGGCAGGAGGCGTAGTAACGACAAGCAACTTAGTCCAGGACTCGTGTAGCCAGTATTTCAACAACACCCACATCTCCCATGTAGCATCCCTTTTCACACCGACATCATAAATCGTCATCCCTGGATTATTATGAGGGTCTCTTGTCACATTAGCATCTTGGACCTTGAAGAGAGCTACCATGGAGTCCTCGTTCAACAAACATCCGAAAGTTCCAGACAAATCCTTTGCAGAAGCAGCAGGGTAAGGCAGCTCCACCCTCTCGAAAACTTCACTCCTCATGTCAAATGAATCGAACAGCAAAGTACTACCGTCTTTGACGGCCTCTCTCGATAGTCGCGACCAATACAACTTCCCCTTACGAAGTTGCGGAGTAGAGTACGACGGGAGCAGTGGATGATAACCGCCATCGTCGTCGTCTAACGTCTTCCACGAATCATTCCTCAAACTATACACCTCAACCAAGAAACGAGTCTGGCCAGTCTGGGGCAGGAAAGTCCGGGCCTGCCACAGGATCTTGTAGTCATCCAATCCCGAGTCGTAACCAAGCCAAGGCCCATTGCGGGTAACGACCCTGGCCCGCCTTACGATATCGGTTAGCGGACGGACACCTGCAAGCCAGCCCACAGCCGCTGAGCTATGGTATGTATTGGGCGGGCCCGGGATGGGCTTGATTTCCGAGGTGGCCCTATTCCAAAGAAACAAATCCTTGTATACGCCGTCGTTTTGGGACAAACAAAACAGACCATTGCAATATGCTTCAACTTGTACGTGCGGATCGCGATTGCTGCCCGCCGGTAGGAGGGGCTCGAACGTGTCAGCCGGCGGGGGCGAGTGCAGAACGTAAACTGATGAGTTTGGGAAGAATAAGCTGCCGCCGCTCCTAATCATAGTTTGATGAGCCGTAGAAGAAGAAGAAGAAGGATCGTCGCCGCCACCGCCGGATAGCTTCTGCAGGATGTTAGAGGGATCGGAGAGGCGATCCCGCCATGATTTGCTGAGGCAGCAAAATCGAGCCTGGCAATCGACCGGAAGCCTCCGTAAGATGTCATCCGTGATTTCCGCCGGAATTCCCACCTTCTTCATAATCGTAGCTGTGGTTCCAATGGAGCGACAGTATTGATTTGTCTCTTTAGGAGAAGGGTAGGCGAGGTCAGAAGGATGAGTTGCTGCCTGCAGGTATTTATTTCTTCATTTAGGAGAAATCAGCTCAATCCTAATTCCTTGCGGATTGAGAAGAAATCAGCTCAATCCTTCTCGGATTCGGATCGGACGGGAAGCCGGGATGCAGAAAGAATACCAGAGCCTTCAAGGTCAGATCATAATTGGGATAAAGCTGGCGATGAAACCAAAGGAGGCAAGATCAAAAGTCAAAACCCTTTCTGAGGCAGAAGGGTTGTGTGTGTCATTTGCTGGAAAACATGATTCTTCTGATCCTGTTATTGCTGTTAAGGTATCACTAACGACTTCTTTCCTCTTGTTTAATCAGCGTTTTCCGGATTTTTACCAGCCTACTCGTTTCTGTAAATCATTTCATTCCACCATTGCTGCAGGAATTTTTGGAAGAGGAACCATACTCGGCTGAAGAAAAGGGAAAGGCTAGGGAAGAATATGCAAGTTGCACAAACATGAAACGCCTGCTTCATCAAAGGCAAAAGAAGTTCACAACAATGTAAGTGTAGCCAATCAGCCGGGGGATACACGTCGAGCACAACTGTGCTGAACCAAATAGTAGTCAGCAAAAATTTCCAATCTCAAGCTGGGTTCAAGGATCCTTGAGGTTATCATATAGCAGATGGAAGGGATTTGAAAGCCAACCTTACGTCCCTTCAAAATAGGTAAAATGTTTATGTTTATCTAGCTCTGCCAAGTTTTTCTATGTCTTGCATTCTTCCAGTCATGGTTGATCATTGAGCAAACTGTCAACCACTCGGTGTGTTTCTTTTCATTAATGCTCAGAATTGGTTTGCATACCTAGCTGTGCTAGGTTGCTGAAGAAGCTTTAGTTGTTTGATATATTTTTTTTCTTCCATGTCGACTGATTTCATTTCAGTGTGAAATTTCTGCCATTCCTTGCTAGGATAATATGTAGATTGAGAGTGTCAATCGCTTTTTACAGGTTGGCAAAGGCTGAATTAAGCAGAGGCTTTGGCAGTGAGGAGGAGTATTACAATGTCGAGCCTACTTCGTGGCATCATCATGAAGTTATGATCAAAGCTAGGTAACTTGAATAAACCAACTGGTCATTAGGTAGGAGTTATGAGGAACCTGTCTGATTGCACGATCAGATCTGGATTTCGTTTGGGAGGACATTTGAATCTCTGACGATTTTAGTGCTTCGAAGCAAGTAGCCGTACTGGAATGGAGATCTCCAGTCCTATCACTCCTGGCCAGGTGCGTCTCTCAATTCTTGCTCAGAGTTGTAGTGTAGGTTTCTAGATCTCGTTTTTCAACGGATTTCGAAGCATATCTTAGGGAATTCTTTGTCAATTTGTGCGATAGAGTTTCCTCGGTGCATGCGAGCGATCCGGCTTTTTGTTTTGTGATTAGTAGGATTTAGGTTTGTGGTTACTGTGTTGCTTCTGCTAATTGACTGCGTATTGTGTAAATGCATAGGCTTCATTTTTCCTTGGAATCATACAAGAGAAAGAGAGCTGGCAAATTGTAAGTTCAAACTCCCTGTCTTAGTTAAGCTCTGTTCCATGGATATGCGATAGTTAGATACTGTGTAGTTTGGTCATTTACGACTTATTTGATGGGATCCAGAGAGATGAATTGGGCATTGCTGCTTTAAGATCTTGCTATGCCTGGTTTCTTCTTGTTGTTTTCGAGGTGATCAAAGACAATGATAAAGCTGTCCTGTTGGATGGAGGCGGTCTTCAATCTGCATCTCCCAGAGCTCTTAACTTGCATTCTTCATCTCCTATATTCAGGTCAGCGGAGAGAGCTTGCAGATAAACTATGGTTTGGAATTCTGTTTTGTGTTTTTCGGTTTGGAGGGAGAAATAAATTTGTGTGCATTTTACTTGCTAGGTTCCTTCTGATGGATGGAGCAGTATTTGTTAGATATTCGGTTGAACCTTAGAGCCATGTAAGTATCTCGATTGTGACCTATAGATGACTGAATTTTGAATAGTTGAATCACAGATCATGAGACGGTTTGCTGCCTTGTGCAGATCTGAGTTTGTTTTCCTTTTGGTGGAATATTACCTTTGTGATCGCACTGATGTGTTTGCCTCTTCAACAAAGGTCTTCCCGCATACTTGTTTCTTATTCCTTTGCTTCCCTTTTTTTGTTCTGATTAACTGTTTTAGCTACAATCAACTGCTGCCTTCAAGCCAACAAGATGACTGTAGATGTCCTGCTACTGTTGCGTCTGCTTCACTATCACCTTTTGTCTTTTTGCAGTCCTACAATCGGTATCTTTTCTTGTTCCTCTACTTCCTTCTCATCATTGTTTTCTGCCATTACTTCTTTGATATACCATTACTTTGCTGCAGCAATGGCGATGTATAATGCAATCCGAGTGTTTATTACTGCATATGTCTGTCCGATCGTACTCGCAAAGCTGCAGTTGCACATCTCCTCTTCGTCCTGCCATCCTTTCACCGTCTCCATCACCTTTTCTGTGTTTCTGGCTCGTCGTCCATGCCTTCCTTTGCCGGCAGTACTCACAAATCTGCAAATGCACGCTCCTCTTCCTGCTGCCATCCTGCAGTATCCCATTTGGCTTTTCTTTCGATATGTTGCTGATCCTAGATAATTCTTCTTTGTTTCAAAATGTTTCGTTAGTAACTTTTGCCTTTCATTTTTGGTTGTTCTGATATTGGATTGCAATGGGATATTGTGGCTGCTGGAAATGCTGTATCTGCATCAAGAAGGGTGATTGGAGTTCTGGATATGCTTCTGCGGCTGTTAATGCTGCATCTGGAAGTGGAGATGCCAAAAGCCTGCACTTCTATTCGGACTGGCCCAAAAGAGTACATCAAGAGCTAAACATCATCATCCACATTAAGTTTGCTGTTCTTCTTCTTTTCTACAAAATAGGGCTAATTTGCTTGGCCCAACACGAATTGGCGTAGCCAGGATTTTGTCTAAATTAAAATACATTAGTAAGCAAAACTATCAAGAATTCATATTTTAGTTAGTCGTTCTCTTTCGAATCTTGTTCTTTGTCAAGAACCGTTTAATATCAAGAATATCACTCTATGTACCAAACAATTATTAATGTTTTAGTTACGAACAAGCGATTGGTCTAGTGGTAATACCACTAGCCATGAACCTGGAGGTACCAGGTTCGAATCCCTTCAGTAGTACCTAATAACAAAAAAAAAAATCTATATCACCCTTATCTAAAAAAAATTATTAATGTTTTAGTTAGTCATTCTTTTTCGAATGGTGTTCTGTCAAAAAATCGTTTAGTATCAATAATTCGAGTTGTTGAGAGAGTTTTAATAATGAAATTTATATCAAACAACAATTAATGATTTAGTTAGTCGTTCATTTTCGAATGATGTTCTTTGTCTACAACCGTTCAATATCAATAACTCAAGTTATCGGGAGAGGTTCAATATATATCTTATACCGTTTACTATCACACTCTCTTATAAGAAAGTTAGCTTATACAGAATTGAAGTTTGCACAAATCTGGATATCGTGTGCTTAAGAAATGAGGTTGCCAAAATTCGAACACAAGACTTTTCGATAAACTATCATCAGTTAGACACCTCCTAGTTTTCAATATCAATTAATTATTATAACTAATTTAACCATTTTCTTTCCGATTCAGGGTGGGTCCCCCGACCCACCCTCTCACACTCTCCCTTCGCTACTGCCAACACAACTAAATTTCCCACGGCATAGCCGTGGGTATTGATAGTAGTATATATAAGATGTACAAGGTTACTAACAAATTCCATCCTTACACCTCATGGATATCAATAATGTATGTAATTATGCCGTGGGTATTGATAGTAGTATATATAAGATGGACAGGGTTACTAACAAATTCCATCCTTACACCTCATGGATACCAATAATGTATGTAATTCTCTTCTTAATAGCTTCACATTTGAATGCTCTATACTTCTGCTGATTAACAAATCAATTCTTGCATTTGTGGTGTATACATTCCAACACTACCTTTGTTAGAAAATCGATGTTGCTATTGATCATTTAATTTTCCTATTGTCATATCTTTTCCCAACTGCGACCAACGCTTGAGTTCTGCCTCAATTGCATAAAATTGAAGCGCTCACCAATATTAACAGAGTTCGAAGGGGGCTCTCTTTCCCAGCTCGTTTAGGCGGATTATCTTCCCTTTGTCAAGGGGTTCTGAGGAATGTCACCCCCAGTATTTCGGGAACTTCAGCCTGGCCCTTTTTCGTAAGTTACATGCTATCAAGGTTGTCAACCCGCGGGTTGATCCGTACCCGGTCGAGCTAGTGGGTCAAGGGTTAGTGGGTCAAGGGTTAATGGGTCAACCGTTTTAGTCCGGTTTGGCCTGGAAATATAGAAAGAGTCAATATATTGTACTTATCCTCATAAATTATATTAAATCTTATCTAACATATGAGTAATAACATATAATATTACACCAAAATAACATATCGTACTTAGATCCAACATATAGTGAAAATTCACACACACCTATATGACATAAATATTCACAACTTAGTATTCCAAAGATTGAGTTAGGCGAAAAGAAAAATTGGAAAATATGTGCATTTCGTAAACTAAAGAAAAAATTGACACAATTTGACCTCCAACCCGGTACCTTATAGCGGTCGGCCCGGCGGGTGCGTGCGGCCCGTTTTTCTCACCGAGTCAGCGTCAAATTGGGTCGACCCGCGGGTTGACAACCTTGCATGCTATACATACTTGTAAACCCTGTGAATTTACGTCTACCTAACTTCTTTTTTTTTTGACAAAAGATAATTGGTATTAATAATTGACAACCTTGCATGCTATACATACTTGTAAACCCTGGAGAACAGCCAGGCCTGATAATTAAAGCCACGATCCGCGACCGGGTACAAAGAGAGGGCTTTCCTAGCCACCATATGGGCTACCCTATTACTACACCGACCTACGAATCGAATCCTCAAACCCGGGTGGATACCCAAATAAAGCAAGACTTCTTCCAACACCGCACCCACCCGATTGTCTCTGGCATCACCATGATTAAGCTTATCAATGATCACCTTCGCATCCCCTTCAAATAGAACATTAGTGAAGCCATTCGCCAGGCACCATAAAATCGCCTCCCGAAGGACCAGTAACTCCACCGTCATTGGGTCTCCCAAGAGAGGGAACTGGACGCCTTTAGCCTGCAAGACCTTTCTATCAGGGGTTAACAGGACCATTCCACCAGCCGCATGCGAGCCAGGCCGAATCCCCCCATTCCACTAACAGATAACCCCACCAGCCGCGCCTATCCCTGTCTCTTCCCCCACCGGGACCGAAGGTTGGCGAACCTTATCTACTGGCAAGCGAACCCATTCCTCATATTGCTGGTGAAACTGACGCATTAAGGCATCGATCCCAAACTGTTTGCCTTCAAATACCACCCAGTTACGGGAGCGCCAAATACGCCACAAGATAGCAACCACAACCATGAACAGCTGGGGTTGGGAAATCAAAGCCAGCAATCTTTTAAGAAACAATGGGAAAGTATGTCGCGCCAAGCCCTCCCCTACATAATCCAGGCCTGAGTACTCCCATAACGCTCGCGCCACTGGGCAGTCGAGGAACAGATGCTCCATTATTTACGGACTATCCCAGCAAACCGGACATCTAGGGAGCACATGCACACGCTTGCTAATGAGGGCCTCAGTGGTTGGCAAGATCCGATTAAGAATCTGCCAGACGAAGACTTTTAGCTTTGGAGGAATATTCGCATTCCACAATCGGATCCAACTTGTTCTATCCATCCAGCTCGCAGTAGCCTTCCAGCCTTCACCCCTCTTATCCAGATCAACAGCCAAATGATAAGCAGACTTAACCGAGAACAATCCATCTGCCGTACCATGCCAAATTAGCTTATCCTCCACATTCTGTCTAGGAAGAGGGATCGATTTGATAGCCCTACACGATGGAGGGTCGAACCACTAACTAAGCTTTTGGTCATCCCATTGTCCACCACCCTCACGAATTACAGTCGCAACAGGAGGATCACCACCATCCGGAATGATCATAGGATTAAATATCGAGGGATCAAGTTGGAGCTGCGGGATCCAATTGGACTTCAGCAAAGAAGCAGACTTCCCATTACCGATCTGCCACCTCAATCCCCTCTCTAATAATTGACGCCCAAACAGAATACTCTGCCATCCCCAAGAGGGCCGAGAGCGAGCCGTAGCTTGCAAGAACGTCCCCCTCGGGAAATATTTACCACGATAAACTTGAGCAAGAAGAGAATTTGGCTCCGTCAGAATGCGCCAGCCAATCTTGACAAGAAGCGCTTGATTAAATTGTTCAAACCGCCGAAATCCCAATCCGCCATCATGCTTACTTCTGCACATATTACGCCAGGACATCCAACGAATTCGGGGGTGACCCTCCGCATCTCCCCACCAAAATCACGCCACGTGCTTGTCTAGAAGGCGACATAGGGAGACTGGCAGCTTGAAACATGACATAACGTGCAGAGGTAGCGCGAGGGCAATCGACTTGATTAGAGTTTCCTTAGCCGCCCAGGATAAAGTCCGTTGTTTCCACCCCTGGAGGCGTTCAAGAAGCTTAGCTTCTAGGAACCGGAACGTCGCCATTTTAGATCGAGCAATCAAAGTAGGTAGCCCCAGATATTTATCATGGACCCCTACTGCCCCCACCCCCAAGACCGCAGCCAGGAACTCCTGATCCTCCTGCACAATGTTCTTGCTGAAACAAACCGCAGATTTAGCCAAATTTATCTTTTGGTCGCTCAGTTCCTCATACTCATTTAGGACCACCAGCAAATTCTCGCATTCCTGCAGAGTCCCTCGTAAGAACAAATACGAATCATCCGCAAAAAACAAATGCGAGACCCTAGGGGCCCGGGGGGCCACTTTTACACCCTCAAGCCTCTTCTCAGCTATAGCTTTCTGGAGCAGGGCCGAAAACCCCTCCGTACACAGGACAAACAGAAGAGGTGATAAAGGGTCTCCTTGCCGCAGTCCCCTAGAAGATGAAAAATAGCCAGAAGGAGCCCCATTCATAAGGACTGAGAACGAGGCCGATCTGAGACACTCTGCAACCCAACCCTGCCAGACAGCGTTAAAGCCCATCTTGTCTAGGACAGCGAGAAGAAACGGCCATTCAACCCTATCATAGGCTTTTTCCATATCAACCTTTAGGGCCATGTACCCTTTCTT